AGCATAAATGGCCTCAAGCAAGTAAAGATGGTTGTGATTGGTTATTGAGCCTCAGTGCTGTTACGAGCCAATCATAATGCGGTTTAATGCAATTGTTTATTTACGTAAGGTTAGGATAGGTTAGGTTAGGATGGGTTACATTAGGCTAGGTTAGGTTAGGTTAGACTTGGTTTGTTTAGGTTATAGGCTAGATTATGGTAGGTAAGGTTAGGTTAAGTCAGGCTAGGTTAGATTAAGTCAGACTAGGTTAGATTGAGCTAGGTTAGGTTAGGTTAGGATGGGTTACATTAGGCTAGGTTAGGTTAGGTTAGACTTGGTTTGTTTAGGTTATAGGCTAGATTATGGTAGGTAAGGTTAGGTTAAGTCAGGCTAGGTTAGATTAAGTTTGGTTAGGTTGAGCTAGGTTAAATCAGGTTAGGTTAAGTTGGGGGAGGGGGGAGGGGAGGTCATTTGACTAACACCCATAAAATATCGCCAGGACTCCATGACCTGACCAGACCTGCTGTAGAGTCGGGTCACTTTACTCACAGACAGCTAAATTACTAAGCAAATTACATAGTCAAATGATGACTTACTACATCATGAGAGAACAACACAGCCAATAATTACTGGTTCGAGTCTTGACCGTTAGGAGGCGCCGAGGAGTGTTGTTGTTGTTGTTGTTCCGATTGTAATTAAGAATTTTATTGTTATTAATGTGGTTATTTATTGTTATTATTATTATTGATATTGTTGTTATTGTTCTTGTAATTATTGTTATTTATGTTATTGTTGTTATTGTTATTGTTTTTATTATTATTTGTTTATTATTATTATTATTATTATTATTATTCTAGTTGTTGTTTAAGATAAGTCGCATTTAATCATTATAAACGCTAGTTAACATACAATAGGTGACCCAACCACCCATTGTGACCTGAACGCGTCCGGGTCATGTTCTGTCGGGTGGTATAATCATTACATTGTCTGGGTATAACCTTCTGTATACTGGGTATCTGTATATCTTGAGACCTATACTTATCATCGTTCTTGTAAGTATGTTTGTATGTTTGTGTGTTTGTGTGTTTGTGTGTTTGTATGTTTGTATGTTTGTATGTTTGTATGTTTGTATGTTTGTATGTTTGTGTGTATGTTAGTCTTGTATTATGAGTATTGTATAAATTCTGTATGTACTGGTATTAACTATATTTTTGTCTTCATTTAATTATTTGAATGTATAACTTATGCATATCTTGGGGTCTGAATACATGTAATATCATTTTATTATATGTATTAAAATTAGCGTTAGGTTATCGTCACTATAATACATAAATAGACATATGTATATCCCCATAAGTGTATATCTAAAGTTACATTCTTCTCATTAACATACATAGTGATTTGTATGTATGCGTGTATGAGTTTGTTACTGGTTTCCACACTGCGACGATGAAGTTTTAGCGCGAAGGAAATTTTTGTTTTTTTACGGGGATTAACCCACCCGGGCACAGTTCACTGACCTACATCAGGGCCTGGGGGGCGATATAATAGGCGTAGCTACAAACAGGTGGTGTCCATGCAAATTAGAACAGACAGGTGTCCCTCGTCCCTGGCTCAGGTGTACAACAGATATAATAAAAGGAATTAGTATTAAACTCTTACTATCGGTCACCAACCTTATGAAAATTGTAATCCCGTTTATAATGCTTTTATTCTGAGTGATGACCGCCAACACGGGACACGGGACCATGAACACGGGACAGGACGAAATGTAGGATGTCCCAGAAACGTGTCCCTGCCTGCCTACTTCCCTCCCTCCAACTCACAGTGTCTCAGGGAGGGAAGGAGGCAGGGACATTTTTCTGGGACACTATATCTAGACAGTCACGTAACTCGTCCACCTCAGGAGATACAGTTCAGTGTGGATTAGAGGTCTTCTTCTCGAGATTAAAACCTGTACACTTATAAACATGAACTGTTACTGTAATGCGCTCAACGACATTAAGAAACCTTATCGAGGCATCACTCAACGTCTCACCACACTTTAAACATGACAGCAATGACAATTACTTTTCCACAGATGGATGACATGATTGAGTGAGCCTTTAAAAGCTGATGAAGGAAGCTTGTAAAAAATTACCATGAGGGAAACTTTAAAAAAACATGAGGGAGGCTTAAAAGAAACTATAATGATTGAAGCTTTAAAAAACTACCATAAAGGAAGCTTAAAAAAACTACCATGATGGAAGCTTTCTTTGCCCCTAACCTCTCTTCCCTCCCCCATCCTCTCTTCCCCCTCTTCTCTACCTCCCTTCCTCTCTGGTCCCCCATCCTCTTTGGCCCCTCCTCTCTACCTCCCTTCCTCTCTGGTTCCCCCCCCCTTCTCTACCTCCCTTCCTCTCTACCTACACCTCTCTACCTCCCTTCCTCTACCCCTCCTCTCACCTCCCTCACCTTTCTCCTTCCTTCCCCCGGCGTCAACAACAACAGCTGATCGTCTCGCTAACACTGTAGCACTTCACCTCTTTTAAACACTTTTGGAAGATTACTCATAATTTTCAACTATTTCACAAGGTCCATAATTACATACCTGGCGTCACGGAGGAGCGACTCAGCGGTAAATAGTGGCATAACTCTTTCTTGCTGAGGAAGCCCACCCATAAGGCTTGTACAGTAGTGAAAGTAATTATTTGTACATTTATGAGTAATTAAGACTGATATTAGTACGCGTTTCTGTCTTCTATTGACTGGAATCCTCGTATTAGATGATTCATTTTACTCTAGTGGAACATTTGAGTGTGTATTGGTTTCATATATGTGCCGTTGTTGTTGTTGTTGTTGTTGTTGTTGTTGTTATTGTTGTTGTTGTTGTTGTTGTTGTTGTTGTTGTTGTTGTTGCTGTTGTTGTTGTTGTTGTTTTTAATCTATAAAAATCCATAATAATTTATGGGATTTTTTTAAATTAGCTCATAAGTTAAATAGAGTAAGTACATAATTATAAACTTACATATACTTTCATTTATCAATTTCTAATCTATACGTGAAAAAAAAAACTATATGTAATTATTTTCATCAGAATACACATACTAGTACATATTCCTGTATACATGCATATATGTAATTTATAGTCTCTCCTTGTGTACTGTATAAGCTACACTGTATATGTATATCAATGTATTAATCTTTGTTTCCCTGACAAAGATTCATACATACAAAAGTGTTTATATACATTAGTACTGTATACGTGTTTATCCCCATCCGCACACCTCGACAAAGACCCACACAAACAGTGACATAAACCCGCACACTACCACAACGCCACCACCTCCACAGTCAACCACACGCCAGCAAACAAACTTACACATAACACAACAGGTCAAAATGCCTCTAGTCATAATAGATTTTTGGTTAGGTTAGGTTAGGTTAGGTTAGGTTAGAGGAGAAATTTGTCTCACCTAACCCAACAAATTAATGAACCTTAAGATATTGACAATTCGTCCTGCGATTATTATCAATTAAACCAACAAAATCCCTAAACTGACCTGATCTGACCTGACCTGACCTGACCTGACCTAACTAAACAGGGGGTCAATTCAGGACCTACAAAATTTTTTTCATGTAATGGATATTTTGCCCTCAATGGAAACACACACATAATGGGATTTTTGTCTCAGGAAAAAAATAAAATCTGATGGAATTTTGTGATGGGGGGAAAAAAAAGATGGAATTTTGTCTCAGGAAAAAAAAACATCGATGGAATTTTATCACAGGAAAAAAATCATAGATGGAATTTTGTCTCATACTCCACACACTGTAGATCATACTGGCCGGAGGTGAATGAACATACATGCTAAATAAGATAATACGGTTTGTGTGGATAATAACGATACGATAATGTGAGTGTTGGCAATGTGATAACTATAGGATGTGTGAGAGCCACCAGGGACTGACGACGGCAGATGGTGAATGTGACTCCTGTGTGTGTGAGGGAGTGAGGTGTAGGGAGAGAGGGAGAGAAAGAGATATATAGAGAGAGGGAGAGAGATATAGAGAGAGAGGGAGAGAGATGTAGAGAGAGTGGGAGTTGTAGAGACAGTGGGAGAAATGCAGAGAGAAATAACCAGAGAGATGCCGCCCTGTCATCTAAGAGAGACAGGCAGACTGATAGACAGAAACTCGGTTCTGTGTTTGTTCTGTCAGGTGTACCCCAAGGTAAGGTTACGCCCGTGTTGTTTTATGTCAGGGAGGGTTTATATGGTTTAGACATTGAGTTTTATGATGGTGGTTTAATGGTTTAATATGAGGGTTTTTTGGTCTGTGTGACTGTTCAATTGTTACTTGTTAAATCCCTTGTGCTGTTGTTGTTATTATTATTATTATTATTATTATATTGTTATTATTATTATTACAACTATCAACAAACTTATCTCAATATGACATAAGTTGTAATTGGGATATTAAACGTTTATTTGTTTACAAGTTGCAGGCGAAGTGTCTAACTAATCTTTGAAAATACTATAAAATGTTTTCTTCTAAGTTATGGTAAGAAACATTATTTTTCACCTAATTTTTTTTATGCTTAATACGATTTTTTTTAATAATTATGAAATGTCTTATTCTTCCACTTATGTCAGACAGTATGACATCTTTCCTGAGTCAGTGGTGGAGGTGGTGAGGCGCCGTGGTGATGGTGCCAGGGACGCTCACCCGGTAAGAACTATGTACTGTCAGTATGTACAGTATATATTACCCGCCCAGATCTTTGGCAGCCATTAGCGCCCAGCTCAGCCTTGTTTAGCTGGGTAATTGTAGACTTTCCAGTGTGTTGGTGAACCCTCCAGGCGTCCTACCACTGCCTAGCCGCCCACCCCGCCCTGTGTGGCCGCCCACCCGCCCTGTGTGGCCACCCACTGGCTCTGTGTGGCTGTCCATCGGCCCTGTGTAGCCACCCACAACCCTGTATGGCCTCCCGTCGTCCAGTATGGCCACCCACAGTCCTTTAAGGCCGCCCACAGCTCAATATGGCCGCCCACCACTCTTCTGCGACCGCCCACTGGCCATTTTATGGCCACCTACCATCACTACCAGTCACCTACAACCTCCTACTACCAGTCACCTACAACCTCCCACTACCAGTCACCTACAACCTCTCACCACCAGTTACCTACAACCTCCCACTACCAGTCACCTACAACCTCCCACTACCAGTCACCTACAACCTCCCACTACCAGTCACCTACAACCTCTCACCACCAGTACCAGGTCACCCAACACTACCAGTCACCTACAACCTCCTACTACCAGTCACCTACAACCTCCCACTACCAGTCACCTACAACCTCTCACCACCAGTTCACCTACAACCTCCCACTACCAGTACAACCTCTACCAGTCACCTACAACCTCTCACCACCAGTTACCTACAGCCTCCCACTACCAGTCACCTACAGCCTCCCGCTACCAGTCACCTACAACCTCTCACCACCAGTTACCTACAACCTCCCACTACCAGTCACCTACAACCTCCCACTACCAGTCACCTACAACCTCTCACCTCCAGTTACCTACAACCTCCCACTACCAGTCACCTACAACCTCCTACCACCAGTCACCTACAACCTCAATGACAACTACCTGTAACACCTCTTTGGTAACCATCTGTAACACCCTATGGCAACACTGCAACACCCCCAAGACAACACTCTGCAACACCCTCATGGCAACACTGCAACACCCCCCATGGCAACACTCTGCAACACCCCCATGGCAACAATCTGCAACACCCTCATGGCAACACTCTGCAATCAACACCTCATGGCAACACTCTGCAACACCCCAATGGCAACACTCTGCAACACCTACATGGCAAAACACTGCAACACCCCCATGGCAACCATCTCTTAACACCCTCATGGCAACACTCTGCAAAACCCCATGGCAACCATCTCTTAACACCCTCATGGCAACACTATGCAACACCCCCATGGCAACACTCTGCAACACCCTCATGGCAACCATCTCTTAACACCTCTATGACAACCACCTGTAGCATCTCCATGGCAAACCCTTACAATGGCCACCTAGTAGAGGGTGTTCCCAGGAGGAGGCAGCTGCAAGGGGCCTGACAGACGTTCCAGTCAGTCCGTCAACACAAGGAAGCGTTGCCTCTAACAGCTCAATTGGGTGGTCTCACGTCATTGCTAATTAAGTAACTTAATCATTGGGCTGTGAGGAGCCATCGACTTGTAAATGACAGTAGAAAATAATGTACGTAATGGGTCGCCTCGTGTAACTTGGACGAGGAATGCTAACTGGAGACCTTCGACTCAGCGGTCCACAAGAACACCTTCACACCGCTTAATCTCATAACCTCTCAGCATACTCCTCACGAGGTTTACCCACCCTGTGTAAACTATCCGACCTCCTTGCCTGCCTACCCGATATATCAAATTTATTAACGAGGATCTATACCCGTAAACGTCACACTATTGTAACCGGTTGTCGTTTAATCCGGAATTATTGAGATTATAGGAGGGAGTCTTCAGAAATTATAGGTTTGGTCCTTTCCCCGGATGCTCTTAAGCGACCACCAACAGCTCCTGTAATGGCGGCTAATTATCGTCTTTTTCGTCAGCTTTGCATATCATTGATCGTGTGGATGGCGCGACGAGGTGGGCGGCCGAAATGGGTGGTTGGGCGGGTGAGTTTGGTGGTTGGATGGGCGGTGTGGGTGGGTGAGAGTGGGTGGGCGTCCTCGCCAACATGTACAACTCAGTAAGGCTATGTCACGCTCTGCTAGTTTCTGTAATTACCGTACTTTGGTTGAGAAACGCAGTGTGTACCCAGTATGGCCCTGTAGTGATGTAATTTAGAACCACACACACACACACACACACACATACACACACACACACACACTAATTCCCAGACCGTAATTAGTTGTTACCTCCTAATATGCAAGTAAATATCACCTTAGAGTTAATTAATGGTGTTCTCTATAGTATTACCGTACGTGATTCATTACGGACGTGTTCTGCCCTCAGGTTATTCTTGCAGCACTTCTAAGATGACTGTTAACTCAAGACTCTCCATATGTATTTCCCTTCTATCACGTCTCACTACGACTCCATGATGTTATAAGCCACAATACTCCACCATTCATAATATACCTCCAATTCTCCTGCAGGTGTCATTAATCTAAAAGAATTTGATAATTACTGTAGGGTTGAATGATAGCAATTTAACATTATCTTTACCTGTTGTACTGTATAGTGAAGGTTAACAAGGGAATATTATTAATTATCTCAGGTAATTTGATCTCGTAATTTTTTCGAGAATATGACGTAAAGTTAACAGGAAGTGATTTTTTTTCTTAGGAAGGAAGATCATCAACTTTTACACGTCATACGAAATAAAATTGGATTATTAAAGTCTCCTCAACCCCCTTCACCCCCCCCCCCTTCCTCCCCCCAGCTGAAGGCGAAGGAGGTTTATTGTTTACCTGGTGTTGTTGTTATTCGTTTGTTGTTTTATTGTTATTTTATTATTATTAAAATTATTATTATTATTATTATTATTATTATTATTATTATTATTATTATTATTATTATTATTATTATTATTATTATTTTATTAATTTTTTTCTTCTCGGACACAGTTCAGATTAGATCTCCAATACTACCTGACTGATCTCAATAAAACTTGTTGTGACGGTGCATGGTGATGGGACGATGTGCAGGGAGCTGGGTCAAAGGTCACAGTCGTGTCTCGTGCACATAACTCCGTCGTTGATGGGAAAAAAGATAAAGGAACGTCAACTGAATATGTATCTTCGAGAGACCAAGTGTAAAACATGAACTTAAATTCACTTGTGTCAAAGGTCACATTCACAGCTGTAGGTCAGAGGTGAAAATTTATGTGATTTAACTCGGTGTACATAGTATTGTATGTGAGGGTAGTCATTATTAATATGTAGTTAGGTGTTTTGATGAAATGATTTAGTATTATGTTATTAATTACTAAACCATTGCTTCCTTCTTCCTCTTCTTCCTCCTCCTCCCTCTTCCTCCTCCTCCTTCTCGTCCCTGTGTTCCCAATCACCTTCCACTTCCTCCCTCACTTCCTCCCCCACTTCCTCCCCCACTTCCTCCCCCACCACCCCAATACACAACTTCTTCACCTCAGCTCACAACAACACCTGAGACTTGGATATCCCCCCCCCCCTCCTAATTAAAAACACCTGACTCGGCTTTACCTGTAGACCTCACCTCTCCAACCACTAAACACAGCTGATGATCTTCACTATAACTTGAGTCGTTCCTTCAAGTTATGTTGACCCTCAAGGAAGCGAACCTGAGTCTGTACTAACTCCTCGAACACCTATCTGAATCTTCACTACGTATAAGAAACACCAGCTGACTCACCACCATCTGTGAGACTAATTACCATCGCCACCTTTTACCTTCATTCTCTACCTGACTTAATTCCTCCTCGGAACAACATCTGACTTTTCATCATCACCTTTGAAACGCCACCACCTGGATCATCAAAATCTGAAACACACACACACACACACACACACTTACTTTTCAACAACTTAAAATAAAATCTCAGGTGTTTGCCCAATGGTGTCTGGGATATAAATTAATTTCTCATACCTTCTTAAGACACTAATACACTTTATTAACTTAATTATCTATTTTTTCAAGTGTCAGGTAATTTATAATCATCTCTTGAACAGTTTATAAGTTATCTTCAACTAAAACACTAAAGATGACTCGACCATATTTTGTAACGTGTCATTTTCTTTCACCTAGAATACCATTGTTTAAATCTTCTTTAAACTGCACTAGTTGGATGATTATTACCTGGTCATCTATTACCTGAAACACTGGTTACCTGTGCATAAGTTAGAACGTCAATTAACCTTTCATCAACTGGAGTATTACTTAAAGAAGAGAAAAACGAAGCTTACTTTCACCCATCTTGAGGACCAGCTGATCTCTTACCATGACGAGGAGGCTAATACTCCAGCCCCTCAAACACCACCTGGGCTAATTCCCTTAAATACAGGTAATCGTTCAGTTTCTACAACGCCATCTGACCTTTTCTCGACCTTTTGGGTTATGACTTAACACGTGAAGAATTAGTTAACCTCTCCATTATCTGGCCTTTAGCTCACCTTCCACCTTCAGGAGCGAACCAGCTGACTCTCCAACACATCCAGACGTATTGATTAACTATTCACCTCTTTAATTATCCATTCTAACTTAGCAATAATCTGGATCATATCAGCTCCTCCATAACGTCATCTGACTCCCCACTGTACCCATGAGGTGTCCAGTGCCCTCAGGTAACACTCCACCACCTCCTGTAATACTTCATTAATTCTTCTGCGTCCTCGTACTCCACCCGTTCCAGGAAGCTTCCGTCTTGTCTCTTCTCCTTCTTCAATTTTTCAATCTTGTCTTCCCACTTTCTTCAACTTCCAATTACACCAAGACCCATATTTCCCAGGATATTTGCTCTCCATTGGCGCAGCAAAGTGGTGGTGTTGGAAAGCGTCATTAAAACCCACCCCGTCAGCTGCTGGCGTTAGTCTCCGTCAGTTTAGCGGCCACGGTGCCAATTTCTTCACGGCAGGTGTTAAATTGGCTGCTTCCTGAGAAATTGCTGGCAAGGATCTTAACGAGACATGAAGTAGGTGTCGGGGGATGTAAGAGCAGGAGTTGAGGTTATATTCGTTTTGTTAATAATCGTTATTAACAGCCACCAGGGTCGTCCAAGTCGCCGAGGCAGGAGACGCTCGCCGCCCCCAAACCCTCCTGCTAGACCTGTGTCGCTGTGGAAGGGTAAAGGTAATTGTACTCAATGAAGACGAACGCGTTGAGGTATGGTGTCGGAGGATCTCTCTACCTCGTCTAGATGATTAGTGCATCACCTAACTTAAACTACTCGCTTCAGACCTTAGTTGAGTAGGTGGAGTAACATATCTCTACATGTACCAGCACTAGATAGACGAAATACAGAACACTCAATTCAACCCCTTTAGAGTTGAATAAAGTTAGATATATCCTCTTCTCCACCTCTCTCAACCACTACACCCACTAACCACCCTCCCTTCTAGCCACCTAAATTTCCTATATTACACACCATCTCTACCCACCCACCCACCCACCCACCCACCCCCACCCCCCACCCCACCAACCACCACCCACCCAACCCCCCCCCCCCCCACACACGTGTGAACACCATCACCACCATCTGAATTATATAACACAGGTGACACTCTTAAGGTTGTGTCAGGTTAGTGTTATCTCCCTTTTACCTACCTACCTACTTCCCTCCCTCCTTCCCTCCCTCCTTCCCTCCTTCCTTCCTTCCCTTCCCCCTTCCCTTCCCTTCCCTTCGTCGGGTTTTGAGGATTTTATTTTTCTGCTTTTATACTTTTCTGGTTATTAGTGTAAACATAAGTAGGTGTAAAAGTGTTGTAAGTAAGTCAAGATTTATAATTTTTGTAAGTAAAGGTAAATTTTATCTTGTGACATTGGTAATTAACACGTAAGGTAGATTATGACCTGGAGTTAATGACTTACCTTTGTGATAATACGAGTTTATAATAACCGCA